TATATAATACATGACACATTACATAGGTACCTATGTTGTGTATTTATTTTCTGTTATTTAATAAAATCGATTTTGTTGGTTCTTGGTTATTTTATTTTGTATGATATTGTCACCCCCCCCCCTAGATTGATGGGCGCCCTTGCTCAGAATAATAATTTATATAACATTTATATATGGATATGTATATGATCTTCAATTTTTTTCGAAAATTCCAAAAATCAAAATTTAAGAATAAAAATAGGGTGAGTATGCTTATTAAAATCACTCTGCAGTTAATCTGCTGTATTGAAAAAAAAGCAATGTTTTTATGTGTAACCTATATTCTATAATAGTTATAAAAATTCAATAATTTCCCTTTATTATAATATATAAAAAGACCTTATATTGTTTTAAAGAATTTAAATATTTTTTATTTTGTTCACAGATTCTTTTACCCCTTGGAATGTAGTGTGAACTTTAGTTTTAAACATTTTATTGCATCGTATAGGTACTCTCTATAATATATTCTCGTGGAATACATTTTAAGATTATCTATTTATCTCAAACCGACGTCTAAGTAAAATTGTGGTGTTGACCTTTTTTATATTGCTACAATTTCTGCAGTTGTATTCATTTCAAATATATTATATTTCCCATCTGAATATATAGGTACCACTTCTTTCAAGTCTGTGTCACTAAGGTCTATATGTTAACTTTATGACTTTATCCGATGTATACATTATTATATATTTATTATTCCCCTACTTTAGATACATATTATATTCTACATAAAAGCATAGTTTATATAACACTAAAAACTACGACATGCAATTTCATGGGAATACCGAATAAACAAAAATAAGTCGTTAAAGGACATTGCTAGTCAGTATGGTGTTAAAAGATTTTAGGGCGAGGGTGTGCGTAATATCTACATATCAAGTTCATAGTTGTAATACGTATAGATTTTGTAATAAACTTTTTTCATACATCGTATTTTAGGAATGTGTAGGTATTTAGAAAAATAAATTTTATTATAAGTCAATCGGAAATCTAACTGTATTTCCACTTTTAATACATATGTATACACTCTTAGATGGTTGGCTTTAATTAAATGCATTCAAATGTGTATATTATCCTATATTATACATATTATCTTATATCAATCGATTATTTACTATCAAAATTAATATAATTAACTGTAGATATGTATGTACACACTGCCCGCCACTCGGTCAATTTAAACCGTAAATATAACCCAAATATTTTTTGTGCAATATTTTTTACTAAATTTATTATTACTACCTAATATCTAATTATAAAATATCGATAGAAAAAATAATAATTAGTTAATTTTACATTAATTATATTTGTATTATTACCTATTTTAGTACAATAGTACCTACATTATTTACTAGAGTATAATATTATATAGCACTTAGCATTGCAAAGTCTGTCTGCAGCTTTCCTAGAATTTCCTTTTCCTTGAATCTGTTTGTTTTTCAAAGTTGCGAAACAATAGTGCATCGATCTTCCGTCAATAGTACCAAGGAAAAATAATCATCGAAATTATATATTTGTTAGAAAATCTTTAGAATATGCTCGTTATAAATTGGTGTGGTTATAGTTAATAAATTCATTTTTTTTTCCCATCAATATTGTATGATTATAATTTTTTAGTAATTAATAATAAACTGAAAAAATATCGCACAAAAAATAATTTGTTTGTATTAGGTTGATAGTTCAAATTTCGCGGGCAGGACTAAATTGACCGTAACATAAAGTATAAACATAACATATTATAAAAGATATTTCTGTTGGTATTTTATAACAACCTTTGTTTTATCAATAAATTCTTTATATAATATTACCATTATTACCTTTTTAATACTCATCGACACATTGTTGGTTGATATTATAAATTATTCAAAATAATATATTATACTATTTGAATAATTACCCTGCTTTGACCGGAAAAAATTGTGTTTGTTTAACTCCTTTTGGGTGCAATTCGCTGCGGAAGAGTCTTTTTAAGAGTAAATCATATTATAATTTATATTTAAATTTTTAGAAATCCTGTGAGACTCACTTGTGGTTTGTGAGTATGAAAACAGTATATGTTATCAGGTAGTCAATCTACCTGCGGTGGATTGCGAACCCAGAGACGTAAGTACGTATATAAAGGTATGATTAAACTCTAAAAGAGTATAAAAGTAATACCAAGTTTGTCCAGGAAAAAATTACCAATTAATACAAAATATTAAAATCAGTAAAAATAATTTAAAAAAGGTGGACAAGTGGATGTCGCTCTGATGTACAATAGGTTACCAATTTAAATTTAAAATGTCCGTAAACATCTTAAAACAGGTCATAATAATTGTATAGTGCATGGAAAATGCTAATATAAATATTCAGTGAAAATGTCATTTATCTACGATAATTTTTCTAGAGTTATTACACCAAAAACCCAAATCGTTTTGCCGAAAACCGATTTTACTAATTGCCGTTTTTCCTTAATTTTTATTTTGTTTTCCCCTGCGCTTTTGAAAACTATTGGGAGTTTTAAATTTTGGCTTCCCGAATGCACCAACTAGATTCACTTTACCATCGAACAAGATACGGTTGAAGAAAATCGAAACAGTTTTACTAAATCAGACGGTGATGAGTGATCACAGATACAAAACAAGATTAAAAAAAAACACATTTCTCCGCTCAGAATCTAAAACAATACAAACAATTGGGCCACTGCAGAAACCGTGGTTTGGGCTCGAGACATTATCTGTTCCAATACATAGATCTATTATGTGCTTCGAAGTGCCAGTGCCGTGCCAACAGGTTTATCTCACTCGGGTCTCGGAGGCTTTTTAAGTTTACACCCAGCGATTTGGGCTGTGCGTTGATCGATATATCAAACTCTAAACCAATTTTCGTCTACTTTAGGGGACAAATTAAAAACAATCCTTTCTTAGAGGGTGTCTATACCTCATAAAACGAAACTACTGACCGAATTTCAAACTCATAGCTTCAGCGGTTCAGAGGCTAGGTGATGATGAATCAGTCAGTCAGGAAAAGTTATTTTATATATAATATACAGTATAGATATATAAAGTAATCATAATTTTTAATATTTTAATCTTTTAGAGGTAATAACCTACCAATTTGTAGTTGAGGACTAGACGTTAAAGCTTAAAATGTTAGCAAATAACTTTTGACATTAATTGTGGATACAATAAATACCCTTTATCCTTCTATTTTTTAAATACTTTCGTCGTATTATTGTTTATTTTTTTTCTGTGTTACTATAAGTCTTAAGTCTTTTTTTATCTTCTATCTACTTTTATCTTGGTATTATTGGCTATATTGTCGTATATTTTAAATTGTTTATTTCCCTATAAACGTTTTCTTCAAGTTATATGGAAATGGATTTATATCTTGATACTGCCATTTATTTCTCGAGTAAAATAGTTATGCATTTCAGTCTGTTGTTGACGGTGAGTTTAATAGTTTGTTCCTATTATGACAAAGGTATCTTTGATATGTTATTACGTATAGTCATATAGATTACAGACTATATATAGTATATATATCTACTACCTATTCATAGCATTGCAATTTAGATTATAATATAATATACACAACGATTGTTATTCGAACTGTCCATTTATACGAATATATCATATTTATTATTTATATAAATGAATGACAAATTTTAAAATATTATTGCTACCTATACATTTTTTTTAAATGCACATTGCACACACTTGCTCATAGGAAAGGGGTAGCCAAATCGAAGCACGGGGGGCCATATAATTTGTCATCGATCGCATCATTATAAGCATTTATACTTATTATAGTTATATATATAATATACAGTGGACGTCGCTTGTAAGACTCACTTTGGGACCGGCACAAAGTGAGTCTTATAACTGAATGAATCTTATAGGCAAAGTTGGAGAAAAACAAAATATTTATGAATTTTTTTTTAGACATGTTTTGTTTTATTTTAATCTACTTAAATACATTCATATTATATATTACTTATTATTTATTAGTGACTAAACGAAATAAATATGATTAAAAATTAATAAATAAATGTGAAATGCGATAAAACTTGTTGTATATACACACATTATTAAGCATGAATCGAAACCAGTAATAATCTACAAAAATATGTAATTGTTCAAAACCAATTTATTTCAAAATTTCAACCAAACATTTTCATTTTCTACTATTTTTTTTACAAAATTTGAGTCTTATAACCGAATTTTTCATGATATATTTGGATAGGTCCGGACCGGTCTAGACGACTTTGGGTCTATTAAGCGACTGAACCTTATATCCACGAGTCTTGTAAGCGGCGTCCCCTGTATATATATATTATAAATTTCTAAAATATTATTTGTGCACTATTATTGTTATTATACTTATTAGTTATTTGAAATTTTTTCGTATGAAATCGACAACATATATATATATGTTATATGGGTATGGCACACGCTTTGGTGTTGGCACATCGCCGAGGTGTCGGCGGCGGCGGCGGCGTCGAAGGCTGCGTGTCCCTCTATAATCATTATCATCATTATCATCGCATTATCGAGAACGGCGGTGGCCACTGATTGGCCGACGACCGTCCTGCCCATTTTTTCCTCTCTGGTCCAGCCGCCGCTCCGCCCGGGGTGACAGTCCGCCCGGCCACTCCAACCGGTTGCATTGGTAATGCGTGAATCGTGGACGACGGGTGTAAACAATATAAACGGTCCGTGTACGCGTTTACGGTACTCGTTCGTGTAAATAATATTAACTGTGTGTATACTTTATACGTGCGAGCCGTCGATGAAGTATAATAATAATAATTAGTTGCGGTTTTAAGTATTTTTTTTTTATATTTTTACTTTTTTGATTAATATAGAAAAAAAATTGCGTTTCATATTTTTTCAACAATTATTTCGGTTATTTCGGAGTGAATCTTATAAGTTATAACAAAACGACGGTCGCTCGAGCGCGAGCGTTATCGAAGTAACGGTATGGACATGATGATCGTTAAGACTGAAGACGAAAACGACGAGAGAAAATCTCTCAACAACAGCAATAATAATAACAACAACAACAACAATAACAATAACAATAACAATTGTAAGAAGAACAACGGCGTCGGAACGACAGCGAAAACGGCGGCGACGACTGGTGGCGTCGGGACGGGCAGGTCCGAAAAACCACCTTACTCGTATATAGCTTTAATCGTCATGGCAATCCAGAGCTCACCGGTGAAAAGGCTCACCCTCAGCGAAATATACTCTTTTCTCCAGCACAGATTCCCTTTCTTCAGAGGTTCCTATCAGGTAAATACACACACGCCATAATATATATTGTGACTTGAAACGGTGTTTCCGAATTGCGGACAAAGTGACAAAAACCATGTGAGTTGCGGACGAAATCTAAAAAGGTAACATACGAATTGCTTATTGCGGACACAAATATAAGATACTAATTACGGATAATGTTACAATATTCACGTGGTGAAATCAGTAGAATATCGTATATACAGGCTGTTTTAAAAAGTATGACGATAATTAATAATGACGATAATCTATAAATATTTTATAAACAATTTTTTCCACAAAATTAAAACAATCAATAATTCAACAACATTTTAAAAATATCGATTGCTCTTTTGCAAGACACAAATATTTTTAACCCCACGTCCCCACCTATCAAATTTTTTTTAGCTACTGTCATAAGTCCTGAAAAAGTTGTAAGGGAAATATTTGTGTCTACAACTAACGTAGTTTTTATTAAAAAAAGCTCTGTACCCAATTAGTATTATGACAACGAAACTCGTGTCCGCAATTGTTATATTATAATTCCTAACCTGAATAATTCGTCCACAACTAGTATGTGTCCACTTGAAATATATGATAAGAATAATCACAGTGTATAACCGTATAGGTAGGTCTCTTATATAAGTTATATCATTATATTACCTGTTGGTGTATGGGCATTAACGAGTTAAAAAGTTAATTTAATTTTAACTTTTTAACTTAACTAGTTACTTTTGGTTTTTACTTTTTCATTAACTTAACTGTTAGCTTACTAAATTTCTTTTGTTAACTAACTTGAAATTAACGAGTTAATTTTTCATTTTAAGAAGTAACTTAAGTTGATTATTTTGTTTTTAGTTTTACTATATTTCACTATATTTTTTTTTTTAAATTGTCATGTCAAAAAATATTTACCGTGAATTTTTTAACTTAAAAAAATGTATATCATTGGAATCTAAATTATACGGAAATATACTGCATAAAGTATGAACACTAAGGTCTATAATTTAGTTTTGGGTTGGAAAAAAATTAAGTACGCTGGCCTTGTATAAACAAATTAACTTTTTTTTAACTTAATAAAAAGTTAATAAAAAGTGTATATTAACTTTTAACTTTTTGTTGTTGATGCATATCAACTTATCTTAACTGAGTTAAAAAAAATCATAAACTTGCCCAGCCTTGATGTATGGTATATACATAATAGTAAACGATGTAGATACTTTCTTAAAATACATTAATTATCTTTTGAACAACATTCAATAGACTTTTTTTTGGAAAACAATAAAATAAACTATATGTATATAATACCTTTTTAAATAAAAGTTGTTCTCTTTCTCTCTCTCAGTATAGTAGTATACACTTTGTACTTTGTAGTATGCAGTTTGCGTATATAGTAATTGTAGATTCGAGTTTAATATGTACACAGGATTTATAGGTCAAAACCTCTAACTTATTATATTTATGTTTTATAGTTGGTCAAAACATATTAGGTAAATTATTTAAACTGTCTGCGTATTTAAGACCATAATTGACTACCTACCGTTTATTTATATAATATTATGTATATAAATTATATAAACACCAGTAATCATGATTATCTAAACTGTTACGACTGTACCAATAACTATACTGTTAGTATCTACCTATATACCTATATAAAGATTAATAAATAATAACGTATTAATATATAATATTTAAAATTCGTTAATTTATTTTAACCAGTATTTTGGCTATTTTACAATAAATAATATCATTATTTTAGTAATGTAAATAATAAATAAATACCTATATAAACTATTTCAGTAGTTTTTTATGTTACAGTGTAATCGAGTGTTATTTGCTATACCTTGCATACCTACTAGTAGTCTATACCAACAGATAGTAGATAACAAATTAAAAAATATACTTATGAAATAAAAAAAAATCAATTGAAATACAATTTTTTGATTTTTTTTCTATGAATATCAATAAAGTTTTATCTGTTGGGCCAAAAAGTGTAAGTATTAACACAAGGCTCCCGATATATTGTTACAATAGCAGTTGAAAAATAATAAAAATGCATAGGCATAATTTTTTTTTATAAGCATTTAAAGATTGAGTTTTGACCAAATTTATAAAATTTAAAATTGATTAATTATTTTGTAGTTAAAAATTTATAAGATGTTCAACTTTTATAGCTTATGATTGAAAATTTAATACAAGGTAAGTAATTTATCCGGTTACTAAAAAATCTAAAAAATACATAGTCACAGTTTATTTTTATAGTCATTTTAAGTTCAAATTTGGACAGAATTACATATTAAAAACCTAGAATAACTATCTTAGTTATTTTGTTATGATTGCGTATAATATTATTCGTGGGTAATTGAAACTTCCAAAGTATACTATTATATATATATTATAGCATCACGGTTTGTTGTTGATGTATAACAAGTTATAAGTACCTAATGGCTATTGTGATATGATTAATTTTAAATTTATTATAGGTACAATTTTTTTTTCAATACCATATAGATAGATATATAATTATGTCTTAATGTCTTATACCTAGACTGACTTACCGTTTCCGATCAGAATCGTCTTTCTTATACAATGATATTATATCATTGAATTCAAAATTAATACCATCCATTATACAGTGACCCACTTGTAACCTACTGTACAGCAGAGCACCTTTTTAATATATTTTTTTACAATTAAATATTAAAACTACATTTTATTTTTGTTGTAGGTATCTACCAATTTAAATAATTTAAGTAATTATAATGTAATACACTGTAGATGGCTATTTATTAGGTCCACCAAAATTCCTTTATAATTAAAGTTGATATACTTACGTTACAAATTACATAACTATACTCAATTAATAGGTTCCTTAAAAGTATGAATACCTAACTGATAAGCCACCAAGGCACTGTAGACTGTATAGTGATCATTATAATGACCTAAATTCTAATCAGAAATACTGATGACTGTGATGAAAAACAATAAACAAATTACATTAAAAAATACAAATTATATTATAATAATTTATAAGTACCTATGGATTATCACGTAGATGACTCGTAAATAAGTGTATATTTCTATAGTGAATTCGTAATAGTGGCAGTAAGGTAGTGGAAGGGGAGTGGCTAAAAGGAAACATAAATTGCTCGGGGTGAATTTTTTTTTATAGCCAGCTTTATGTTCATCATTTTAAAATATGTATAATACCTATTATAAATAAATTTAGTAGGTAGCTCAAAATCTCACAAAAGAAATAATATTCTTTTAGTATAATTTATAACTTTATATTTTAAATATTAAAGACGTAAAATAAAACTAGTTTATTTTTCCTTAAACAAATTTCTCAGTATCAAAAATAAACATTACCTTTTTATTCTTGAGTTCTTGTAAAATAGGTGTAATTTACTTTTCACATTTAGGTACATATATAATACCTAAAATTCGTGTTTGTACCTACACTTTATATTATATTTGTACAGCATTCGCTCGCTCTACATTTTCAAGACTTTCGAAAGTAAATATAAATTTAATACAATATGTGTTGTGTTGACATTCTAAATTTGTATGCTGTATGCCTGTATGGTTAACATTTTACTTATTGAAATTGCATTAAATAATTAAGAATTATTAAGATAATATAACGTTTACAATAGATACTTACTGTATTGTGATTTTGAAAACAATTGACGTTAATATAATAATATTATGTGATAATATATAAACGAAACAAAACTGATTATTTTTGTCGAGGGAAAAATCGGTACAAAACTCCAACGTTGATTATTACGTTTTCAACGTGAGGTTCATATCTATTTGAAAACTTAACAATACGATTTAACTATAATATGAATGTTTTTACTTGCGTCTGGTCTGTTGTTTTGTTCTGTACTTGCGTGTTATTTAGCCATTTAATAATATTATCAATGGTTGGAACTTAGAAGTAGTTTACTGGATATGTAGCGTCGCTATAGTAGCACAATACTTTTTTTTTGAAACGGTGCAGGTATTGTATACTGTGTTGTTTCATTAGTTACTTTAGTTGGCTACAGTAGCATATCTATATAATTTTTTATCATAAATATAGCGAACATTTATATTTTACTTTTTTGAACGCAACTTTTTACAAGCATTTACAGTTTATAATTTGAATAATATTTCTATTAATTTGTACTAAACATTAATGAATAAGATTCATTTAAAATTTTAAAAACGTACCTAGGTATATAGGTACACATTATAATATTATATCCTAACAAAATACTAAAATTATGTAACATCCAAATTGTACCGTTTTTGTGGACAGTTTAAGTTTATCACTTATATCAGCTTCACTTTTTTCTCACCGGTTACCAGCATTTATAGCAGCTAAAAAACGTAGTAAACTTTTTATTTGTGTTTATATTTTTGTAACATTGTAACGGTTTAGTGGTATAACGTACATCAACAATAGTGTATTCCAACCATTGACAATATTATATTATATCCAACTAAATCAAAACAAATCATATTATAAGGTGAAAAACTCTGAACGTAATTCAATTGTTTTTATTATAATATATTATATAGCTATTATTTGAAGGGTTCTATCATTGGATGGCCTTCTTTATCCTATCATTCTATTATTATATTATATTGTTTTGTTGTACATATTATTACATTTGCTTATTGTGTTTTATTAATACAGATTGTAAATTTTCTAAAATAAAAAAAAAAAAATCTATTATTCGCGTATATATATAAGTGTGGATACCTAAGTCTTTTTATTAAGTTTAAATAAATAAGTAAATTAATAAACATAACTCTTTTGTCCTGTAAATTTTCCGTACTCGCTGTAAACACTTTAGCTTAAATGTCTCCCACTCTCCCGTATCTGAAATTGAATATTATACCAATTGTATATTATACCGATTACCAACCATACTCATACACCTAGCTTTTAGAAAAAAACTCAAAAAAAAACTCAACATTTTAAAATTATATTTAATCATATTTACTTTAATTTGTTTTATTTTTATCTTATCTGAATCTCATTCCTCCTCCTTATGTATTTACCATCAATTCTATGCTGCGGATCGAGTAACGTAAAACAAATACCTACGAAAATGCATGATGTCATGATAAATTATGCGCCTCTCTATGTGTGTGTTATACTTACAGTATTGATGTTTAGCACTTAAATACGCGTTATCTGAACGTATGCATAAATTGTTAAATATATTATAATACCTATCATATATTCATATCAAACTATTTAACTATGTAGTAAAACAATTTTTTTTGCATAGGGATGGAAAAACTCAGTGCGGCATAACCTGTCACTTAACGAATGTTTCATCAAGCTACCGAAAGGGCTTGGACGTCCTGGCAAGGGTCACTACTGGACGGTGGATCCAGCTTCGGAGTTGATGTTTGAGGAGAGCTCGTTCAGGCGAAGACCCCGGGGATTCCGTCGCAAGTGCCAACAGAAGACTGTTGGACCTATCGGCGGCGTGGGTAATGGTTACCAAACGTCACAGTACCACCAGCACCTCCACCACCATCACCATCACCAGAATCTACAGTTGCAGCAACAGCAACAGCATCACCATCATCCGTCCGTCCAACAGCAGCAACCGCCGTCATTGCCACAGACACAGCCGTCACCGGTTCTGCCACCTCCACAGCCATCACAGCCTCCACAGCAGCAGCAACAGCAATCGATTGCCACTCAACCGCATACGCAACAACCGCAACCACAGTCACAGTCGGCGGCGTGTTACCTGCACGACCAGTACGACTACAAGGACGCGACGGCCGCAATGGTCGCGGGATACCATCACCAGCAGCAACAGCAACCGGACTACAGTAGTGGTGCTGGCAGTGGCGGAATCGGTATCAGTGGTGGTGGAGGGTACTGCAGCAGAAACGACCAGTTGGACCATTTTGCGGCCAGCTTTTGGCAAAGCCAAAAGTCTGACGGTTACGTCGGAGGTGCAGGTGGTTACCAAGAACAGTTTGCAGATTACGGTTGCCAGTATAACTTGACTCACGACAATGGTGAGTACCTCCTTGATTTATTTTACAAGTAAAACTCATTTTTTATCTATAAAAATCATTAGCTATACATATTATATGATGGTCATAACTATATATGATGGCTATATTACGAGTGCATACTGTACAATGTAAATGATAGTTCAATCGAATACTTTATAGATGTTGTTGAATCGATAGTGTTATATATATATTTAATATTTGTATGAATGGTTGAGGGGGAGAGTAAGGCGACAAATACGTGAGAACGTTTGTTGTATTGTGCGGTACTGCGGTGACTTTGGACCATGGAGTGTTTGACCACTCGTGGTATGTAGGTGAAGAGGCAATAATGATTCAATTATAACTATGTACATCTGCACCTGCAGGTTGTGTGAGAACAAGAATTTGCACATCAAGCGTTCTGGTGACCTCGATCTTGGGTATTAACCCACAAACTGTGTCTGGTCGTAAAGGACTTTTTGCATTTCATTCAATACATTTTATGTCAACGATCCTATTGAAAAAAAATTTCTATGTGCACATTATAATATACTATATCCATTACGTGATACTCAAGCGCTTAATAGTCTACGTCATTATAATATGTCATGTAGTGTGGGTTGTGCCTACTATAAGGTGTAATATAATATTACAGAATATATTTCTAAAGCTTTTATTAATAAATTGTTTCCAATAAAATATTGGAACTCACAAAATAATCAAAAGAAACCAAATGTCTTACTATATTTAAAGTTGTAACTAGAAAATTAATTAGTAAAGCATATATTATAAATAAAGAATAAGATAACCCTAATAAATTACAGTTTACATTTTTAAATAAATCTTCCAAAATTAAAATCTAAAACTTATCAGCTTCTTTAGAATACTGCATTTTTAATTATATTTACCTACGATTTTAGCGTTTGTGTGTAATACATAATATAAGTATACTTTAAAAATGCCACAAACAATTAAGAGTAGTTCTTATAGAACGAACTTTTTGTTTTGTTTTTTAATGAGTTACGTGAAAATCTGAATAATTAACTTGAGAATTTTAATTATTAGCCCGGTTGTAAATTGTCGAGTTTTTCGTTACACTGGTTACAGTGGAGTTTTTCGTTACAACTGGTGTATGCCTGTATATAATATTATACATTTATATTTCATACTATACCTAAATCATTAACTAATAAATCATAATATTAAACATTCGATATTTTAGTTCCAAAACTGTGGTGTAATTTCATAAACCAGATATACAGAATAATTCAGCAATGCTGGTGTAATTTATGTATTCAAGTATAATATACAGTAGGCACCTATACCTAACTAATGAATTTAAATCGATTGTATTAACAAATTGAGAATTTTTGACAATTTAATACACTACAATATTTGTGACTAAATATATAATAAATACCCAAAGGCTATAACTTGAATATCACATTTATATGATAATAGAATTATAGATTTCAATTAATTATTTTTTTTTTCGAATAATAATAAGATACAGCGTACTGCGTACATACCTAAATCATGTATGCAAAATAAATTATATATTATATGCATATTATGTATTAACTATAGTATTATTATTTACTATAATAATTATATTATAATAGTATATAATATTATAGGTATCTGTAATGTTAAGATAATGTATTGACAGTAAAATTCTAAAATAGGTAGGTACTTTGTAAATTATAGCATCGTACCTTTATTAATATTAAAAAAAAATTATTATTTTAAGTTTGAATCCTAAATACATTAAATAATAAAGAAATAGAGAAGATTTAAAGATTTATTTTTTGATATTGTGACAGGGAAAATACAATTAGTATATCAATTAAGACGTTTAATTAAATATTGTTTTGCTATTTACAGCGATAAGAAAAAAATAGTTTCATAGTTTTATTTTAATATTTATTCAATTTTGAATTTTCATTACATTTGAAAAATGTTGAGCATAAACAAAGGCGTAGTGTGTTCAAATGCTTCAAATGTGTTCAAATAATTTAGTACACATACCTGCAGGGATACATTTTAATTACTCAAAACTATTAATTATAATAAAATCATCCTTTGCTTTGATATCATCAAATAATTAGTTTTCATAAAAACATTAAATTAACTAATAACACGCTGTGGTCTATTAATTATAGGTTAGATATTGATTGAATGGTATAAATTCCATTCTGTAAAAATAGTTTACAACAACAAAATGCAAAGTAGTTGGAACAGGTTCAGTCATTTAAACGCAGTGAAAAACCATTTAAAAGCGATTCTGAGTTCGGTATATCCAGAAATGGATATTATTTTGTTTTAAAATTGGAGCATGCTCGCCGAATAATAAATTTAGCCGGTCTATAAGATTCTATGATAAAAAAAAAAACTGGGGAATTTTAAAATGAATTTTCTAAGGTATATGATGTAGCTATGTAAGCATGTTATATGTTTTATCTTCAAAGAAACTGCTTTTCTACATTAAGCTTTTAGAAATTTTCCATCAGGCGTCAGCAGTATAGAAATAATTTAATAATAACAGGTCGTATAATATATGGGATTCAAGGGCCGCTGTAAGGGGGTCATATAAAGTTTAAAAAGAAAAATTATTTTTGATCAAGAAACCTAATGCTTTTCTAGTTCCTCAAAACTGAAAACTTTTCACATAAATAAAAATATAGTCAACGACTAAACATTAATACATTATTATTATTTTACAATCAGCCGCTGGCCATAACAAACAAAATATAATTTTACTCGACACCCTGCTTGCAGCAGCTATTCTACTAAAAGTCTCTATGTTATTCCCTAAATTAAATTTAACCTCAAATACTAAATACTCCCAACTGCCCATGAACAACAACAATAATAATAATGATATTAATTTAAAACTCTGCCGTTATACAGACACCGTATTGGTACACACGCACAAAACAGCCTAATGGTTATTACGAGCTGCTAACACAATAATCCTCACGGGCCGTATATGCACTGTGGCCATATTATTATTATTATAGTCATACTATATATTTTAATACTTGTGATATTGAAACCAAGTGGCACGGGTACTCTGAATATTTATCGTTATTGTTATTGCCACGCAGAAAACTACGCTTCGGGTGGACACAAACCAAACGCAGTATAGAGCAATAATAATAATTATAATAATATTACAGCCCGAGCTTGAATTAAAATAATAAAATCACAGCGCTGATATAGTTATCATCGTCGTATTAGGACATTAGGTACCTATTACACTCTTAAAAGTTAAAATAACAGTGATCATTTTTTATCGGGATCTTCGAACCGATTTACAACTGTACGGTCTTTGTATATAGGTATTTAGTAATCGTCATACTCTCGGGACGAGGTTTTTTTCGAATCTTGTACTCAAAAGTAATACATTTCACTTTTTTTTTTAAACAAATCACTATTTTTTCTGTTTGTCAGAGTCAGAGTAATAAATAATATAATAGTATCGATGTGGTTTTTGTCGATTCGGATTTACTGAACATACTCGTCGAGCCGAATTTCAAATACGACGTACGTATACATAATATATATATATATATATATATGTGTGTACTATAATATATAATAGTCCGACGATTTTAAAAAGTGAAACAAACGCGATCTTTGTGTGCATATTATCGTCTATATCGTACGACATGGCGTTTTTAGTTGTTTACGAACAGCGTTTAGGTCGCGAGCGCACGCATCGTTTAAATGCGTTTCGTTGTGCATTCATAAAAAATAAACCCCCGTGGACCAATTTTATATCACATGTTGGCAATAAACAGTGTGTTGTGACAGTGTCCTATAAAAAGAAAACCTCGTTGTCTTATTACAATAAATATAATATATAACATAAATGGGTCAAACCATGGTTTTTTATGCATATTGATATAGCATTTTTTATTCTGACCTACATATTATCATTATGTACGATACGATCCCTTTGACCTCCACTTATTTAGACGACCGCAACGTCTAATTGTGTGGGACACCCCCTCGGGTGAGCACTGCAGTGTGGTCGTGTGTGCTACAGTGTAAAATACTCACCATTATATACATATTATATTTATATACATTATACATGGACGGTGTCACTGTAGAGAGCGAGAGTTGAGAGTATATAATAATAATAATGTGCAGAGCTGGGTGCAAGATGACGACGAGTGTTCTGCACCGTGTAGTCGCATTATATATATATATAGGTATTTAATTATTTTCGTATGCAAGGTCAAGAGGTCTCGTCACCGATCGCGTAGGTCCTCCGAAACGCACGTGGCCTTGTCAAAATATATGTACATATATACATGATATATATAATTTAAAACAAAACCACTTGTTGACTGTGAAATACGATGACATATTTTTTCCTTCTTAGTTAAACGTGTCGATTTCGCCACACATTGGCTAAAAGTCAAAAAGGTACAAGTGGCCAAGTGGGTGTGAAAAATGTATATACGCTCGCAGACGCCAGCCATTATAATATCATATTTTTAGTCGTCTAGAGTCTGACGTCGACATCGTCGACAACGACATTAATCTGTTATTTATTGAACGCCTATTAATTTTAATATTTTTTTTCCATCTATTCGTTTCAGGTTATAGTACGGTTGCTAGAAGATCGGCGACTGCGGCCGGACAAACACAACAGACTGTCATGGACAACGCTATGAACGCCACTAGCGGATTACCACAACACATAAGTCTCCACCATTATTATGACTGTCCAAAGTTTTGTTAAGCTTTCGTCTTATATACCATACATGACGTATATTACGCATCGGACTTTCACATTTCTAAAAAGTATCCGCGAGCGTTTATTAACACTGCGCAGTAACACAATAGAAACCGTAGAAACTTTGAAAAGTATTTCCCATTCGAATCGGGTACCTATAATTTTCTTTTGTATATATAAAAATAAAATAAGATATATTTTGGCTAAATGTATGTTTAATATTATCGTACATCACGAAATGTATATGAAGCTCGTAAACATTAAAATGGTTGGATAGCCAAATCGAAGCATTATAGGTTATCGCGTGATTCCTTTCACCAATAATAATGTCTTTCATTTTTAAGTTTTAATGAATATCAGAATATGATGTTATCCTTAAACTGAATAATATTTGATTACCCAGATAAGCTCATAAGGCAATCACACAACATTTTATAACTGACTACAGTGCATGTGAGCAGTGCGCTGTGAGTACAATATATTATATAAGGAACGGAATAATAATATTTTAAATCTATTTATGATAGGTTATTTAAAAATAAACTTTTAAAGCAACACACATATTTCTTAGTTTATTCTTTTTTAAAAAAAACTTTTTGTTTTTATAATTTAAACAAATATTAACTAAATAAACTATACCAACAGACACAAAAAAAAAATCATAATAAATTAAAGATACCGAACAAAAATTAATTTAATCTCTTGCAGTATGTATACAACAAAAATATTACACGATGTTATAGTTATATGTCATGAAGTTTTAATTTTTAAGTTTAAAGTGTGCTGTATATAATTTATTTATAAATGAATATATTTTTTCAACATTTTGTAAATAATTTAATAATTGGCCCAACCATATCAGTTGTGCGAATACGAATATCGAACGTCTCTAGTCTCTTATATTAATATATAATATGATATTCATTTATCGACAAAATGTGAATGTTCGATATTTTGTATTGATTAAAAGGCTGAAAATAGTATATTTAAATCAATATGTATTACGTATATGTAAATTGTAAATAGTTATAAAATTATTTTAAGTACTATTAAAACCGTTTTGTTGAGAAATAAAACATAACGCACAAAAATCATGTATTTTAGTATGTGTATATATTATATAGTTTTGATGTTCTATATACCTAGGTACAAAATATATATTATATAATATTAAAGGTCTACTCACCGTGCATCTGTGTAGACATTATAAATAGCATTTCGAAAGTGGTTTTTTTTCCTTTTTTGCGAAGAGAAATCTCAAACGTATTTATTGATTTATCACTGCGCGTGCATAAACGGAGCACGTTTTAAATATGGTTGGAGGTGGAAATTTAAAAAAAGGTTAAAATGTGCAAGACGGTAAACGCGGTAGGTAGACATAGATATTCAATAATCGTAGATACTCAAACGGACCACCCGGACCCATACGTGTGGTACTCAAACACACACACACACTTATACAATTTGTAATATATACATGATATATTATATTATTATACATTACCATGTCATGCGGACTTTTGAAATACACAAAAAATCGTTTTAATTTTTTTTTTGTCAGAAACGCCGATTTGGCTGAACATGTGTTAACGCGAGTGTTGTATGTGATTCCCCGCGCACGTCTCGTGTTTAATAGCTTACAACACTCTTCCACTCCCAATGTGTGTGTGTGTGTGTGTGTGTGTGTGTGTGTAGGCAAGAGCGCGTACCTACATCGAACTTCTAGACAATAAAACGCATCCGAAACGTAAACAGAATCCCTTCGTGTAAACATGGCCCGGAGTCAAAGAATTCGTACCGATTCTGTATCCTTTAATTTTATATTATAAAAAAAAATACGAGTAAAAATGAAAACGAAAATCGCCTCAGGAAGAAACGAAAGGAAGCAAAAAAAAAAATATATATATATATATAGGTATATATGTATTATAATAAACGTTATGTGAACGATTGAACTTTTATTATTTTTATTTTACGTTCACAAAAAATATAAATATATAGATGATAGTGGGGGAGAGGTAAAGGAAGCCTTTATAGAATAATATGCTGTCAATAGTACGCAGTATCGCAAACGCAGACTTATCGATTCTGCTACCTAGTAAACAGTATACAGGTAGTTAAACCTTTCGATCCACCAATCACCATACGCAAATATTTTTACCTGGATACTTCATAACTGACTTATCTCATAACTGTAATGATTCATTAAAAAATAAATCTATACGTCTAACTTAATTATTTAACCGAAGATATTTTTTCTTGATAATATACGCAAATGGAATAATATAATTGTTCGTTTCTATACACATAATACTAGTATCAAGCAACGAATGATAGAATATTAAACCCTTTTAGGTGCATTTTTTAGGAAAAGATTGCTCAAATTGGTACGTCATGCAAAATAGGGAATCGATTTACCTTTTCCTTGAATAAAAATATGTTTGACGGAATTGATGAAATCCCTCGGCATCAATACATAACTCGGAGCGTCGAACATAAAAAAAACATCTCGTTGTAGAAGAAAATATGGATCGATTTTTTATTTACAGGGTATTCCTTAATGCTACGAAAATAATATCATAAACGTCGTACGTTTTCGTAAGTATATAGACATATAGGTTATCTCTAGTCTCTACCATTATCCAACTTAAACCTTTGCATTTAAATATTTAATACAATATAATGTACATCAGCACTGCACATATTTTTCCGTCCGTTTTATTGCAGACTATAAATAATAAATAAAAGAAACACGCTCAATAAGCCAATTCACTTTGGAGGGATCATCGCCAATAAAAATTAAACCGGACACAAATGGTATTGTTTATTTTAATAATATTTTTAAAATAAGATAAAAAAAGTATATGTGGTCTGTTTTAGCCGTTTTAGGGCACTTTTAGTTATATAGGTATATATAGTAAGAAATTATAATATAATATATAAATTGATTTGAAATTTCGTATTAAAAAAATTACAAATAATTCGAAAATGGATGACAGTGGAATGAATTATACACGAAAGTAAGTTATTTATTTATTGTTATTATTATTATTGAATGTAACTAATGCTCAGCGTACACCCCATAATTTGCAGTACAATTATTCAGGAATTAACGAATAATTATAAAAAACTTATCCAAGTTCATCTTAATTGTTTAATAGCAATTATGAATTGATTTTACTTTAGTTAAATAGGTACTATATTATTAGGAAGGCTGGGCAAGTCAACTAATTTTTTTAACTCGTCTAGAATTTTTAGGTACCTATATATAGATAATATATTATATACATTAATATGAAACACAACTATAATTGATATTTCACTATTATTTACTCAGTGGTTATATACGTAAATAATATATTTGCAAAAAACCAGTGTAATAGTGTTGTTAAAAAGTAATTTTAGAACAGCTACAACTGCAACGCAAAGTACATACAAATAATATTTACTGCCACAACTGCTGACATTTTTTTTAAACATAATATAATGTGCATACTGCACGACCACGTAGTGTAAGTAAAGTTATTGCTAAGTTGTGGCAAAACTATCGAACTGTTTTTACATTTTCCCGTGCCAAAATAGAAAGATAAAAAAGTGTCTACACTACAAATCATCAGTGGCGTATTTAGGAATTTGTCATGGGGAGGGTCCAGATAATTTTCAGAACACAGAGCCACGGGGGACGAAGCCCCCCACACCACCCATTTACTCTTTATTAAATAAAATATACCATATTTATAAGACGATATAAAATTGTCGAGTTTTTAATTATTAAATAATAATATGTAGGTACAAAACAAATTTAAAAAGAAGCGGGTAAGTGGATGTCACTCTGCTGCTGTACAGTAGGTTACAAGTGGGTCAATGTATAATGGATTGTATTAAACTTGAACTCAATGATATAATATCATAATATCATTGTATAAGAAAAACGATTCTGAGCGAAGACGGTTTGTCAGTCTGGATATTTTATATTGTTATTAATTATTATAGCCTGTAAGTTGAATTAATAATGAAATACTTTTATTTTTTATTTTTTTCTATGGTGATAGACAAAGTGTTAGAAATTAAGATCCTATTTTTAGCGGTTTTTCGTAATTTTTTGGTGGATTTTACAGTGGCATTAAATAACTATTGAGAAAATCGAAAAATGACCTCTCTAAAGTACTATCTTGATCCAATTTTCTAAAAGATAAGTTACTATATGTCTATAAATGTTGATATCGAAGAACTCCTTCTGGAAGAAATTTTGTATACAGGAAAAAAAATAAACACCATTGTAGAACCAATAGATCCCTCAGAATCGAATATATATTATATAGTTATATGTTATAACTTTTATACAAATATTTCCTTAATTACATTAGGTGCCTACTTCATTCATAGTTGATCTTTGATAGCTTTTCAACCTTAAAAAGGTTGAAAAAGATCTCTCTGGAGTGGTTGTAGATACTGGCAATGTACAAAACTACAAAATATTTGAATTAAAAATGAATTTGGTATTTTTCAACCATTTTTGGTACCCAACTGATAAAAATAATCACGATATTTATTGAAAATGTTGATATAACTATAGCTTCGAAAATTTTTTATAAAATCCATAAAATCGTATGATAAAATTTGTTTTTTAATCATGCTAAAACTGCACAACATTTAACATGTACGAGACACGAGTCAATGGGAGGCGTCCGGACCCCATGGACCCCCCCCCCCGTAAATACGCCACTGCAAATCATAATGGATAATAGTGGTTTTGAATATTGTACGATAGGTAGTATAATATCTTATTACGATACATTTCACATTTGGCGATATTTTCATAAATCAGATAGTTAGGTATATTTAGGTCTTATGGTAAAGATAAAGGTAATTATTTAAATATAGGCAAAACGTGCATCAGTTATGTTATCATTAATTACAATTTTGTACAGTAAAATAGAATGAATAATTTAACCGTTTTGAGTCGCATATTATTATAAACTAGTGTAATGTCGTAGACAGGTATTTTATAGCAAAAATATAATTAATCGTATTTGATAATTGTTTTTTTTATTTATTGGTCAATATTATTTTAAAAATACATTGTGTATATAAAATGGTAATTTAAGTAATAGTAAAATGTATTAAGTTTATAGGTATGCATTTTCAATATAATTTATTTGTGGTAAGAACTACTCATGAGGAACCTTTTTCAAGTTTTTTTTTACTTAAAAACAAAAATTGTATCCTACACAATTCGATAAAAAAAACTGTACAACAAAAACACAAAATATAAGTTTTTTCTTAATTTTTTTTTTTTATTTCCGGATTATTTCAAGAAATTGGTGACCCTCTAAATGTCAAGTAGATCCAATTTGTCAATTTATTACCAGAAACCACCCCAATATTGAACTTTTAAGCATTTTCACTAATCAACTAAGATTAAGTAATGGCAAGCACTAAACAAAATAAAAACCATCATTGTAAAACCAATACATTTACCGTTCCACTCAGATTTCAGGATCTAATATTTATATGCCGTATTGTACCTATTGTTTAAAATAAACCAATTTTACAGTCTGAGTATATGTATACACTTGATGGTGATACGACTATACGAGTTCTCTTCCTTAGGTGATAAATGATAATGTGATTTACCTATTCATATCTACATATGCAGTGATATATAGTTAGACGACAGACATGTAACGATCATCATATTTTTGAATGAAATATAGTTATACGTTTCGTTCATAAATATATGATGATATACTATGTCTTATAAACGTTATAATAATATACAATAGTGCCAATATAATCATAGGCAAACTAAGTTTTTCGAATTTTTATTTCGTTGCTATCATTCGTTATTATAGTCATTACCTATTAATTTCGTCAATACTATCTATTACATAATATGATAATCATACCTGGACTGGCTGCAGTAATTACTGATTCACGTCCCGTGTAACATCCTTTATAAACATTCGATCGATTTCAGATGACGTCAAAGCTCAACGCGTTTTCTGTTTGACCGATTCATATACGCACTCATCACGACCACTTTTGAGAGATGTCAGCAAAAAAATTTGTCACGATTACGCAAATTATACACCTGGATTATAATACCTGGTAAAACGTGGTTTGCAAACTTGTGGTCGATAGTCGATGGTTGCGATTGTATAGGTACTATACATCGGATATCCCCTGCAGTAAAATATTAAATTTAGTGTAAAATATATACAGAGTGTATCACCAAACACGCACACCCCTATTTTTTTCCTATATTGACAACGCATTTCCACAAATTCTGATTTTTGGAATTTTTAATTAGGTTATAGATTGATATATAGTTATATTTATGACCGAATTTTAAAATTGGTTCTATAAAGATTTTTGTACCATTTAAGGATAATATGTCATGTGGTTACCTACAAACTTTTTTTTCAAACAATAGAACCACTCTTGTTTACTATAAATTGTTAAACATAAGATATTTTAAACGCTGATGCGTCCAAATCGAAGTTTGACCAATATATAACTCAAATTTTAGTACTACAGTAAAACCTCCCTATAACGGAACCGCTTGGGACTCAATTTTTTTCCGTTATAAAGAGTTTTTCGTTATAGGGAGGTAGAAAAACTATTGAAAGATTAATAGAAAATTATTGACATTTTCCTTTATATAAGGAGGATTCCGTCTAATAGAGGGTCCGTTATAGAGAGGTTTTACTGTATATATACATATAAAATTAGCCTTATATAAGATCTTGTACCTATGACGATTGGAAAATTATATTGATTTATTAATATCTTATATTGTAAAAAAAAAATTGAGTACCTATAGGCTATAATACGTAAGTATAAGTACTAGACTAAATATTACATCTACCTATTTTATACTTTATGTTAAACCAGGATTTTTATCTTTAGTACCTATAAATGAAGATTTTAATTTTGATCTACCACAGATACTTCTTAATGGTAAAATTATCCAATATTATAGGTACGTATGAATATATGGTCTTTCAGCATTTATGAAAATTCCAAAAATCTGAATTAAAATAAATGCGCATTATGCGGGGAATGATGTTGGTGAAGCGCTCTGTATACTTTCAAACTCTCGTATGCTGCAGTATAATAATATATTTATTACGAAAAAAGCGAAAATAATTCGAAAGCGGTGGCCATGTACATTATTCCAGGGTGTCAGGTATTGTGAATTATTTCATATTAGGCGTAGGTAGGCATACCATTATAAGTATATTATACTATAGAATATAGATAAATAAGCATAGTTAATACTAGTTGATTGAATAATTCATCCCTTCGAAACTTATACCCTATGGACGGAATCGTCTAAAATTAATTATAGGTACACTGTTGTACGAGATTATATCTCATCTGCACATACTATTTCAGTCGATCTATTTATCATTGCAGTCCACGGTGTAGGGCAGATGATTGAAAAATAAACAAAATTAAGGTCTATACACATCGGAAAAGTTCCATTAAATAAAAAATAATAAAAACATTGAGCAGTACGAGCGCAGTAAGCACTTATTATCATATTCTTAGGTTTTTTTTTCACGCGCCGCCACCAATAAATGTGCATTATTTCATATTTAGAATCTTTAAAATTTTTTTCACCCCATATTATACAAATATGCGTATAATATTCGTTTGTATTTGGAGACACACTTCCGCGCGAGCCGCTCTTTATTACAAAGCGGCCCGCCGACAAAGGACTAGATCGGAGAACGATATCCATTAAACATCTGGTGTTTTAATTTTTTTTTTTTTTTTGAACCAGTGTGAAAAATATAATATATTATCGGTTTGTACTTACGTTTTTATCGACACCGTGCAATGTGCATAGTACATTACGAGTTGTTGAGTTCAATAATTATTAATCCATATATGAAGGAACAACGGCGGAGGTATAAGGATTATCTATAACACCCGCGGCGTAAATTGCATAAATAATTATGCGCATTATACATACAATCGTGTGCATTATATATACCATAATTTATACGCACTGTCGCACTTCGCAGGTCACTGCAGGTGTGTAGTATACGACTTACTTTTGTAGGTAGCTTTGTAGGCGAATATTGTACTATACGCCTGCACACTATAATATGGTTTAGGCCATGGTTGAAATATACAAGGTTATTGCATTTATACCCCTTCTAGATAACATATTTGATGATACAAACAAAAATGGCAGCGTAAAGGGAACAATAATAATTATCAAGTATACATGCGCGGGAATTTTGAATTTGTTAGCTTTTGTCAGCGTCTTTTTGATGATAAGAAATATGTATATTTGTGATATCCGCTTCCGCGGCCATTTTGTTTCTGATGATAACAATCCGAGTCAATATGCAATAACCTGCATATTTCAACCATGGTTTAGGTATAGTAGGTAGATATGGGTAGGACATAAATAAATACGCAAAACGAAAAGTCATTACAGTATAATGATAATGGTGTATTTGGTAGATTTTCCTTTTAGTTAAAATATTTCAAACTCTGTTAACAATATATAATATTAATAGTATACCTGCAATGATAATAATTATTATATTATAATCATGATGAAATATATATAAATATATATATAAGTATATATTATATTATATATATATTACGAATTACCATAAATAAATTGACTTAGCTTAACTTACAAGTTATTTAGCATGTTAATTGATAGGGTTTCCAAAACGTTTGAATTGACAACCTCTTCGAATTTAAAATATACCTGGGCAACGGGCAATAATGTAAGTCGTACGATTACTTATACAATAATATATCATATTGTAATATTATATTATAATCTACAACTATCTCGCTCGATACGTTTGAAATCTTTAAATTCACAAACTTGAATAATCGTTGTACATCGCGTGGGTCTACTGCAGTTATGCATCTCTTGATTTTCTATTAATTTCATTTTGACAATTTGACGACCAAGGTAAAGTTGAGACATGAGTTCAGTATACCTACGCGTGTTAAGGTTATATTGTTTTAATTATTTTCCGTCAGTAATTGGTTAAAAATGTAAAAATATCATTGAGGCGTGACACAAAATATATTTTCAACCTTAAATCGGACACCCAAAATTGAGCTTTTTTTTTTAAAATGTCGCTTTTTTTTCGTAACGGGTCGTCAATTTGCATAACGGACATCCCAAGTTCCAATTATCCAAGTAGACGTGTATAAATGCTTTTGCGTCATAAAACAACGTATTTTTCCCCGCGCATTTCTACTGGGCCCTTTTCTGTCAAAACTTGGCTTTACCCAATTTCAAACACAAATTACATTCTAACTATCTGTGTCAATAAACATATGTATACTATATAGTATTATAATTGTTCCTTACGTTATAAAAACTCTGATCTGAATGAATAATAATTGTTCACATAAAAAATCTGCTCAAAAATACTTTTTAACAATTTAGAGCCTGAATATAGTTTATATCTATTATAGTATATACATATATAGTTATGTATATAGTATACCTATTAGCATTTACCTATATTATAATATATATATGTGTGATATAACTATGTACATATCGAGCGGAAGAGTTTGAGTGGTCTAGTACATTTGGAAGACTTTAAAATAAAAACAATAATGAATTGACTAATATTAGTTAACATATTGGTATTAAAACTAACGTATTCTATTGTACGAACAAAATAATATAATAACAAAATAATTAGACATTTAAAATATACGTTTTCAACGGGTAAAATATGATTTGTATAATATTATATAATAAAATATTTAAAATAGTATATCCGAGTATGATATAAGTTTATTCGTATGCAGAATATTTACGTGCCTATGATGTATATATATAGTACGAGGTTAAAACGGTTTGTAAAATTTAAATAGTAAGTACTTCATCTTGTCCCATAAAATATTTACTACCTTTATTGGCTATAACCTGTTGGAAATGTATAAGAGAATATTATCTTTTATTATTTAGCGCGCATTGTCGTGAAAGACACGGGTCTGTGGTAAATATTGCATAAATCAGAAATCAGGACACAAGTATCCTGTATTGATTACATATTATTTTTCCTGATAAATGTTTGTCAAAATACAGTATAGGTTTTTCGTAAACACCTACTTTTAAAACTGTAACAAAATAAATAATGGTTTTCAATGGTCATTTTAAGCTCATCAATTTTTGGGTAAATCGCGTAATGTACTTAAAATAGTTTTCGTTTGAATAAAAAACAACAAAAAAAACTCACTATTGTCACGTTCGATAAGAAATTCCGGATGTTCTGAAAAATATAAAACAATATTGTTTCAAACGTTTGGGTGGTGTTCGACAAAACATCGAATTAACGAACTATTTTCTCGTTTGAATAATATTATAGTTACGTGTCCACTAGACGGATGAAATACACTAATTATCAACAGTGCTGTATGTTAAAAAGTATCGTTCAAAACATTATCAGTTTTAAGGAGTAGTGACTTTAACAAGCATGGTATTCCGTCTGGATGCCCAATCCTTTTACATTTGATGAGAATGTTCGACCAAAGATCACTTCGAATATTAATGATGACGAACGGTTGGTGGTGGTGGGTGGGGAGGGGGTCAAGAGGTTATTAAATAACACAAATCTCAAAACTATTTTTCAGGGGCCCTATCCACGAATTCAGTCAGTGGCCGCGTTTGATATCGTGCACGTTCTGCAGAATTACGCATGTATGGTCCCAGTTCCATTTTATGTAACATTACTATGTCCTTTTATATCCATTCCACACAATAAATTATTTTGATTTATAAGTATATAGTATATACATATATGAATATATATTATATACATACATATAGAAATATACCATATTGGGTAGAGAAACAAAAATTTAAATAAATAGGTAATATTATTATTATTATAATATAGTATTAAAATTAAAAATAAATAAATAAAATAGTGTTGTTTTTGACATTTTGGATCTATAGACGAATGTTTTATAGAGTGGTAGGTGATTATAGTAATCTATTATGGGACGGGTACTGTCGGTATGACACCATTTCCCGGAATATTGTCTTTACTAGTTATAACAGCGTTGGGAGACGCCGGCGTGTTGTCGTCCAGGAACAGCGGATTCTTCACTTCCATTTCTCCTGCCTAGAACATGAACGCGCACATCCATTATGATTAATACTTTGTGTCAACAACCAAAAATATCATTACAAGCAGTGCCGCATTTAGACATTTTGCGCCCCGGTGCAAAAAAAATATAAATATAAATATAATATTATATTAAAAATATTATTATGTAATACTGTTATTAAAATAATTAAAATTATAAAATTTTAATAATTCACAAGTAAACAAATTTCTGACCACAAAATGTTGGAGCCCCTAAAATACTGGCTCCCGGGGCAGTTGTACCCAGCGCCCTCCCCTAAATGAGGCCCTGATTACAACTAATAATATAATATAATATTTAGGTACGTTCAATTGCTTAAGCGTTTTTCTAAACAATTATTATATTAAAAATCACTTACAGGTGCTAATCCCGGACATTCGTAAACTGTGTAATCGCCTTCCTCGTTGTCATCATCGCTGTCCGGATCACTAACTGAACCACATCGACTTTCTTTGACCGAACTGTTCCTGCGAACCAAACAAAAATTATACTAGTAAATATTATTATAATATTATTTCATACGTATAGGTACCTACACGACGTGGGACGGTTGAGTTTCAGAGTAGGTATTATTATGTGAGTATGTGATGTTAACAAAGACTAACAATTGTTTTTTCTTTGAAGACATTTTATTTTGATTATAAAAATCCCCATTTTCGTGTTTTATTTATTATTTTTTGCATTTTTGTGAAAAACTAAAATATAATATAACAATTGACTGATTCATTCGTTTTAAATGTAGGTATATGGTTGGTTTTACACTGGTACAAACTAAATTGAAGGTTTCCAATTTCCATTGATTTAATTTTCAATAAAGTATTCGTGTATGCATATCACATAATATATATAGTTCATATCATTATATAAATATATACTGTAAACATTGCTTAATATAACATCAAAGGGACAGCTTTCGGAGAGTTTGTACGCACTAGTCGAAAGGGTTGTACGAAACGATCAAATAAACATAGGAAATTCAACTGGGATTTTGCGCGATTAACCGACGATACACTAACTTCAGTACTATAAACTTTAATATATTTTACATAATATTATGGTTCATGACGTATTAACTATGTGTTGAATAAAACGATTTATAATTCAAATGTTTTATTTTAATAATAAATAACAATTAACATTCAAGGATACTGAAAATCGAAATACGTTTTATTTGCTTAAAAGTTTTGTTCACCCTCAACAATGTCAACAATTCTATGCCTACCTCGAAAGTATGTTTTACTCACGTTTCCATAGCGATGATCTGTTGTTTCTGGTGTTGGTAATGATACATTTGGGCGGACTGTGCCAAGCGCCGGTCGCCAGTGGGCGACATATCTTTGTTGGGTCCGGTGATACCGTACGCCGGGTACTCTATGTCCGCAGCCGCCTTGCTATTCTTTTGCATTCTGAAATTTCATACGAACAATGTGATAGGTTACAATCGGGTGAGGTCGCAAACTTTTGCGCCGGGCAATACACTGACCTATAACATGCTATGGATGATATGAGCAGCACGACTAGGACGGCTAGACCGACGCCAGCTGCTTTGGCTGGAAAACAACAATCGAACAAATTATATTGATGAAAATATATGATATCGAAAAATAAAATGATAGATAACGAACAGAACCGTACAAACCGTCCGTTCGCAGAGAGCACTGAATTTCTTTCATATAAACTTGGTGGGATTTAAAATTATAACAGCAAACATTATATTTTATATTTAAGTACAAACGTTTATAATTTTTGAATGTGCTGACCAGAGTTTATTTTTGTTTCATGCTAGAAAAATTACAAAATATGTAAAATCTAAACTACTAAACCTCATGCGTGTGAGGCAAATGCTGGTCTCGGGGCTATAGATACAAACGCATATTAAAAAAATCATAAGACGCTACTCGAAAATCTATGGATCATAAATATGATATTTTTTATATAGGTTACCTTAAAAACGAAAGGTCGAAAATCGGTCAGAAACATTTTAACGTATATCCAGCCCAAAAACATATTTATTTTAAAAATTATGCAATGGGATTTAAGTAATCTATATATTATATTATATTTTATAATACATTTGCAGTATTATTAAAATCATATTAATTTATAGATTTGATTATTACAAATGCTATATAAAAAATATATTATATTATATTATAGGAATCCTGCAATTGAAAATTTTAAAATGTGTTTTATTCGATGATGATATATTATTAACGCTTGTTTATTTTTACCTAATAATCCGAAAACCGTATTACCACCTAAACGTATAATATTTAGTATTAAATTTGGATTTATAACGCAATAGAGAGGATTCAGATATAATCACCCGTCCAATAGAGTAATCTGTCAAACTTTATCGCTGTCGAACGGTCCCTATAAATATATGCGTACATCATAATATAGGCGTTGAATAATATAATAATATGCCATGCCGGAGGCGCATCATTTTCCCGCACAAATACATAATTTATGCCACGCAAGTATCAAAAACGTATTGAAAAACTAAAAACCCATTAAAAGAGCGTTAAAAACAATTTTCGCGTGGGTCTCGAATACCACATCAGATTGGTTAAGATTAATTAGGTTTTATTTAACTGTTCAGCCTTTTTTTATATGACAGTTAATTCATTAATTGTTCATCCCTTTGTAATATTTATGATGATTATCATTTAATGATTACACTTACTTAATTTCGGTGAATTTATGTTACGAATTTGCTAATTTTTAACGAAAACATTTACCGATATTTATATTTAATTATCAAACATCAAACTAGGTTTGTGGTTTGGATTTTAATTTTCAGATATTTTTTCCAACGTACTGTTATCAATTAAAAATTAACAATTAACATATTTAATACGAATATACGATTGTTTAAAACCAACCACAATTTTATCCTAAGCTATAAGATAATTTTAAGAAAAATAACATTTACTAATATACCTATATAAGTATTAATATTCGTTGTGACTTGTACACCTACAATAAAATGTATTAAAAATTATTTTTCCTTATAAATGTGTTATGTGTACATAATATAGTAATTTACCTATTAATGTCTGTTCAAAAACGTTATTATTTATTACACAGGTACACAGTTCCGAAACTATCAAGAGCTTAACTAAACTAGCTAAACACTTAAACTATAGGACCAGTATAGGTGTATAATATACCATTATACCCACGTCATAGGAGAACATTTAATTACGTTTTGGGGAGGAAGGGGTGGCATGCAATATCCAAATTAAAGTGGCTCACAACCCAATTACCTTATGGTTCACATATGAACGGAAATCTATATTTGGTGGAAGATGGGCTATGCCACCAGAAGCCCCTCTCCCTCTTAACGACATGGACACCTATGTAGTATCTAATACGTATCCAAAAATATAGGTTTATTTATTAAAATTATTGTACATGTGTTTTTTTTAAAATAAATTAGTGTCGTATAACATCATCCTAGCCTACCATAAGAATCCCTTAATCTCCGATCTATCATCTGCTTCTATCCAAGGTAAACCAATTAAAATACTTAAAAGACAGTGGTGTCGTGACCGGCTAGCCTAATTATAAAGTCCTACTCATGTCGTAGTACCTACGCTGGGAGGCCTTTACATTCCGTCTAATCTGCCTTTTTATTTTTATTTATTTATTTTAACCTTAACTAACCATCAATTGTTCTTATTGTTCTTCTTTTTTTGTAACAGATTAAATAAAAACAAATGAATAAAAAAAAAAAAAAAAAATATAACATCATAATTCATAAAATCATAACTAATAAAGGTATCCTTAATTAATTTAAGACATAGAACATAGACCGTTTTACCCAAATTGTACCACTCTCATTTAAGCTTATGAAATCACGAGTGAACCATATGAGATTCACGTTTTCATATTCCATTTTAGTTTTTTTTATTTGTAGGTCCTAATAGCGTTAAACATCTTTGCAACGGGTTCTTATCAGTCGCCTGTAATCAGGGGAGGGGTTGCTTGGAGGGACTTAGCCCCTCCTCCACCCCAAAAAAATATACAGCTTTCTAGTTGTGTGGCCGTGTGGGATCGAAGCTTCCGCTTACATAGATGTTAAAATTGTTCACCCCCCCCCCACTGAAATTTGGATTTCAACCTATAAACAAACACTGCTTTAGCATAATGTAATTTGATAGACAACCATAATTGATAAAAAAAAATAAAGGAATTAAAAAATATATCGTTATACGTTCAAAAATATTTAAGTAGGACAGTGGGTTATCCCCCAGACCTTTAGTACCCCTATACTCGGACTACTACTGTCTGTTTTTTTTATCTTTATTTGGTTCTTGCTGTTAAAGAAATCCTACCCTGTCCATAAGGATATCATTTGGCTACTGGGTTATGTGTTTTGTTGCCTTAAAACGTTTCCATTCTGATATAATAAAATAACAAGCTGTATTGGAATATTAAAATATGATTCATATACGTTTATGTCATTTGTATATTTAACTTTCGTGTGTTAAGAAATTTACTGCCTATATATCACTATAACATTTATAATTTAGATATATTTCTACTTTACCGGGCACCCTCTTTTTTTTGAGTTTTTTTTTTGAAACTTATATAGTTAAGTACGCTGAAAATGATGGTTGAATCTGAATTTTGCAAACGGACTTAGTTTTGAAGTTATAGCCTAATGAAGTTCACTATTTCGGAGAGTAGCGACGATTGCCGTAAAACGTGTAATCACTGCCTATACGCTATACTACGACATAACATAGATTAACATAGATTTAATAATTTTTGTGCCGATACATACGTAATCACTTCAACTTTGAACTTCCATAACTTTTTAACAGTAAGTTTCCGGGAATTTTTTCAAACAGTTTTGAATTCAGCGTAAAAAAACAAGTATTTTGAAAAAAAGGGTGTCCGGTAAAGTAGATTTGTTCCAAAATCGCAAAATAGTGAATTTCATTAGCTCATAACTTCAAAACTAAGTCCACTCGCCAAATTCTGACTTGACCATCGTTTTCAACGTACTTAACTACATAAGTTTAAAAACAAAAATTGCAAAAAAAGGGTGCCCTTTAGGGTAAAGTTCAATAATTTATAAGTTAAACAAATTGAAATGAATACCATTAATATCTTTCTAAGCTATTTGGACGGTCAATACTCTTGATACACGGACACAAAACCATTAATGAAATTATTAATAACATACCAAAGAAATAGTAATCGTCTTGGCTGAACCTTGAATGAGTCGAAAATGGCATGACGTGCATAAAATTGCTCTGTGGTAAATCCATCGATACCTCACTGGTGCTCGTGTTCTCCGTGGTGACCTTTGATGAAACATATCCGTCCGTTCCGTACGACAAACTATCTTGTACTTCACTGCTTTTGGACCTTTCCTTTTTATGATATCTACGGGGCACTTGATCTGGTGGTGCCAAATTACTGGAAAAAACTTAACCACAAACAATACGTGTTACAAAACAATAATTAAAATATATAAAATAATAATATATATATAGTTATTAATTTAATCTATATTTAATTAAATATTATATAATAAGGATTTCATACAGTCCTTATTATAATAATTATCAATATTTTAAAGCGTATCGTTACAAAATATTATATACATTCACAAATAATTATAACAATAATTTCAAAAACAATAACTAATATCTTAGTGACTTAGTACGCATGCACTTAAATTAATTCGAAATATATATTATAATGGTGTCAAATAGTATAACGATTCATTATTAAAATGTTTATAAATATATTTTTCCACTCGAATATAGGTTACACTGTTATCCGAGGTCGACCAACTTATTAGAGTTGTTTTATTTACACCGAAGACAGAAGTACACCCTTCGGTTTTAAACGTTATAATATGTGGCCATACCACAACAACAACAACAACAACAACAACAACATAATACTTTATAATTATTATAAAATAATAAGATATATCATATATCTAAAATCTAAATTGAATATTCACTGGAAGTCCAGCATTTAAATATTATAATTGTGATCTAAAATAAGCTATCAAAAAAATACTACGGTGATACTACGATGCATGCATGAACGGAAAAAAATAATTGAAAAACTACTACTCGAAAGCTGACCACCACCAACTACCTGGTTGATAGTAACGACGGTCATTGGGCAATACGGCGAACGGTATTTTCTGATTTCCAGTGTTTATTTCAGGTAGATGTGATGCCAGGTCGTACGTAAACGCCCGTTTATCATCGTCTATCTGATCGAGGGGAATCGGATACGGGTCCTGGAGATTATTCCGCATCCTATAGCTTTGATCCTTGATAATTTCTGCCAACTCATTGATTATTAACTCTTTTTCGTCTACACATATATACAATAATATACATAAAAACATTAACCCAAAGTTTATTTCAACTTCGGCGTTACTGCCAAATATACAATAATATAATATAGGTAAGTACACATTAAAAAATTAAAAAACATACATAAATTTTATAATATACATTAATACGTTAATATACACATAGCTGCTTCGAATTATAACTGAAAAATATTTTCAAAAGGGTTAATAGTTTTCAAAATAATGATTGGCATACGTTAAAAAACCACTCTGTATAAATTATATTACTATCGTTGTTATCACATTTTCCGCGTGCTAAGCCGGATGTAGATATACACAGACGACTGATAAAAAACAAATACATGTCACCCCGTGGCCCTACATCGTCCAACACCATATTGGCCGAAAAAATGTTGTACACAACACGAACGCGATGATAATATTATATGACAATAACCTTCGTTTTATATTTTATTATTTTGTATATTGTATACGTAAAATAATTAGTGCTTGCCAATAATTTTTCTCAATTTTTGCAATGTTTAGCTTGCATTATTGATCCTGTCTGTGTACACAGCTGCAGTCAAAAAGACCTGATGACTACATTATTTTTCATATCCATATGAACCAAATAGTTCTAGGTGTGTACATTATACGATAGTCGATGATAATATTGTATTTTCATATCACCGTATTAAAAAATGTAGATAATCAGTCATCAGTGTTATTTAAGTGAAATTAGCAAATTGCATAATATTGTAGTGAGCTAAATATTGTCTTCGTATACATACCTACACTTAAAAAATGTTCATTATAGACACAATAACAGAACGAATTTAAATAGCAGTGTAATTTCTATACAATTAAACTCTTTAAGCTTAAACAATTATCATTAATTTAAATACAATTTATGTTTTCATAATTGAAAATTCCGTAGTATTCTCTCATAAACTTTACTTTATACAAGGTTTACACTGGAATTTGTAGATTTAAAATATAATTGGACGCTTTATTATTAATTTTGTTTCACAATTTACATAGCCACATAAACTTACATAAATATATTAAATAATATGTGGTGTATAATGAATAGATAATAATTTTAATAATATTCCAACATTTTGGATTCATGAATGATGTACCTATATTCATTTTGTACCTATATAGATCATTTTAATTATTTATTTGTAGCCAATGCGATTATTCTATTTATATCTACAACTATTAGTAGAAAATGTTATTTATCTTAAATAGGTTTTATGTTTAATCTGGGCATAATAGTATAATACTATGTTGATGCCTTAAAAAGATTTTTTAATACCTAGTACCCAATATTTTTAGTTTGTTTGGTAACTATATAGTAACAGCTAAAAATATATGATCAGCAGAAACCCAGATTCACACATTTAACTTTCAACTATACATGCACACAAATTACAATAATTTATGATTTAGAATAAAAATAAAAGTTACTTTTTATTTCCTTAAATAAACACGCAATTTTAAAATTGTTATTTATTTAGTAAACACAAACCTGCACAGGCATTTTGTTTGCATAAGACACTTCAAAAATCTCATAATGTATCTTTTGCCTCAAAACACTAGCGATATTAACATCTATTAAATATTAGATATAATATGAAACATAGGTACCTACATTAAATAATGATAATATAGTACCTATCAAGTATGAAATATGTGTGTCGGTATATTATGCAAGTCTTGTATTACAAGATATTAATTCAATGAAATCAAAACAAAAACAGGTGATAAAAAATGTATGCTAAAAAGGATAATTAATCATGTAGCTACCTGAATTTCAAACGTATTTATTATTCAAAATTCAATTATAATTCTAAACAACTAACAGAAAAACAATGTGTATATATCTACTCCACGCATACACTGCAGTTTTAAGTGAGTTTCAAGGTGACTAAACACGTCTCTCTTACAAGTCATCCTATGTTTATTTTTTTTAATCTATAACCGTTACATTGTAATTAGAGTACGAATAATATTAATGCATTATAATGTAAATTAAATCACAGGGGAATGCACATACTTCATAAAAATTGTAGAAATTATCGATGTCGTCAAATAAACTTGCGATTTTTAAATATGGTCATAATTCAATTGTGCATAAAAAAGTGTAGTTTTATTGTGTTTGTAGTCTTTGTCGTTGTATGCACATTTCATTATAAAACCACCTGCCCGTTATAGTTCTCATTTCCATAAGTAAAAACTAGTGGGTGACTCTATGATAGTATAGTAGCGAACTATACCTACTACTATTACTAATACAGTACTACGTTAGGTTGCGAAAATGATTGTACAGTTTTAGTTGTAGGTTACACTTTTTATTGTATAGCTAGCATAGTATTAAATTTAAAACTATTTTAGAGAACGAATAGCAATCTAGCTTAAGATGTCTTACGAATATTTAACTACAGTTTCATTAAAGGTGATTAGTTTATTGCCATGATATTAACATACATATATATGATACATACATATTTTTACGTATAAGATATTAGATATTAGTAGGGCTCGGATGTTGTTGCACTAAAAATGTTATAAAATTGATTGCATTATTGCTGTGAAAAAACCCAAAATTGCACTTAAAAATTGCAATAAAAAAATATTTTGTACCAAAAAAATTAAAAAAATATATTAAAAAATTATTATATGAAATGGATTAAGTCATTTTATTAAGTAATATTAAAAAGTTTTATTAGGTAGGTCTTAAACGAGTAGATAATAAAAAAGATTCAAATTCAAATTCTCGTCAGTTGTCATTAAAAATCTGGTAAATTGTCCGGTCTTCTTATTTTTTCAGAAACCTATAAATAATTTTATCAAAATTTAAAACTTTTTATTTAAACTATTTTTATTTTTTTTTTAAAAATAAGCCCGACATAACCATAGATTAAACCTGTATAATCTAACAAAAAAAAGTGAAAACACAAAAAATACATAAAATTGTATTGAAAATGACGACAATCAACAAAATTGCAATAAAATTGAAAAAAGATCAAAAATTGCAAAAAGTTGCACTTAAATTTTTTATATATTAATTGGTACTCGTTTGAAACAAATTTATAACCTACTTAGCAACGAATCCGAACAATAGAAAAAAAGTTGCAAATGCAACAACATCCGAGCCCTAGATTATATTAGATTATATATATGTAATATTAATATATTGTAATATGAATAATATGTATTATATTATAGCCAATCATAAAAAATTGGGTGATACATTTCAAAAACGTTCGTTTGAGTTTTAAACTTATCACTCAGATTAATATTTTACATTAAGTGTAAATCTTAATTATATATTTATACATATTCTAGTCATTAGGTATACAATAATTATCAAATACGGAAATGGACAGAAGAATTACCCAAGGTCCTAAGTTATGTCCGACACAGTCAAAATCTTATTTTTTTTTAACGTGTTTAATTTCCAAATTATAACTTTTCTTTAATGAATCAAAATATTAAATTCTTGCAATAATTCAAAAAATAATTTATTTTATTTTACATGTCAAATTATAATATGACGATTCAAAAATAAAACACAAGAATATAGGTAATAAGTATTAACCAAGACTCAAGAAGTGTAATAGGTATATCTACTATCTAGATTATTATTTATTACTGTAATATTAGGTATATTAGGTATACGTTGTAGTAAACATTATCTAATGCTCTTGGCTCTTGCTCACATTATAGATCGAATAACAACAAAAATATCAATCAATTTTATTTAAAAACAGATAATATTATGTCACGAGTTTTTTTTTAAATATGTAAGTATTTTGATAAAGTTAGACATTATTTATAAGAAATCTAATGCACATATTTCACTGATTGCATTGTTTGTAATCGATACAAGGTGTATAAAAACACAAGGTGTAGATACCTGAGTGTGAAACAGAAATAATTAACAAAATGTATACAACCATGAACCAAATATGTAACAACTAATAACGTTCAATCGACATTTTATTTTAATATAATGTAATTTATTGTAGACCAAATAACTTCAAAATGCTACAGTAGTATGGTTAAAATTATTTTTCAAGGTGACTGCCCAATAAACTATAGTTGAGTAATAATCACTAATTTATATACTCAATTTGTTTTTGTAAGATGGATCTCTAGGTATAAGTCAATTAACTATGTTTATTTTCCTCGTTTAGAATCTGTATAATATAGTTAATTAAAAACAATATTCATAATTCATAAATATTCAAAAATATTTTAGTATTTTTTCTCTTTGGTTACTAATAATAAGCAGTTATATAAATAACTATGATATGACTTAATATTATAGTGTAGCATAATAGGTATACTGCTGAAATGTAAATGTTTAAAACAAAATAACTTTTAATTGCTTATCGATTAAGTACTGTGAAAGTGAAACGTGTGCAGTACAATTAACTACGAGTTTATAACTACCTATACAAAATAAAAATAAGTTATTCGCGTTTATCACTTAGAAGTTAGAAATGTGGGAAACTAAATGAAGTTTTTTATTATTAAGATTAGCCATCGGTTAAAGCGTTGGTAGTCCTTAAGTTTAGTCCTTTCAAATTAATTAACTATACAAATATTTCCAAAATGTGTTTGATTTTTGTTCAAAAACATTCTTTTTGAAGTTTGTGAATAATAGCAAATAATAAACCCTTTCAGTTCGAACTTTCGGTACCCGGCATCAGATTTCATTATTTCAAACTGACCTATATATTTATATTTACTATTGCTATTTGCCAAATATATAATCTTTTGAGATCTATAACTTATAAGCATTAGTGAGTTACTGGAATGTGTAATTTTAGAAGTGCTAAACGTAAAAACATTTGAACAATTCACAGAAGTTGTAGGTATAGTATGCAGTTAGGATTAAACGTCTATGCTATATACGGGAAATAAAAGATTACAAAGTTGTTATTGAATTCAAGAGCACAGCACATTACACTATGCTTCAGAAAGTTTGAGTTCCAAATTACTATTAGTTTGCTTTCTTAAAGAAAAAAAAGATTATGAACAATATCGGAGTAAACAATATTTTTCCAAGGGAAAAATCGCTATTGTTTTTCATTCACTATGAAAAATAATAAGTTTTTCTACTACCTACAGAATCCTTTACTTATAATCATTAAAAATCCAGAAAACAAATAATATTTTAAAACTAATTTGTATTCTATATTTACATTACAAAGTAAATTTATACCTACATAATACCTTCTTGTCTGAAAAAATCCGTAGTTTGTACTACTTTCTACTTCCTAGTATCATCTTTGTTAAATTAAATATTTATATGTATAAAGTATTAAAGTACCAGCACTAGTATTTTAATAAATTATAGATAGGTATATGAATATTATATTAAGACAAATATGAAGTATTATGAAATATGTTTTTCTGTAAACATCTGTAAATTGTGATTAATAAGAATAATATAGCTATAGATGTTAAATTAATTGGAAAAAGTAAATATTAGCGTTTTTTTTTAAAAAAAATTTAATACAATCAAAATGTAAATAAAAGAAATTCTAAGCATTTGGCTGCTAGTCAAATTAAAAATATCATTACCAACTTGTTTTACCAACAGTTATTTTGAGTTGGTTAATATCACGGCTTTTTATGGTAATATACAATTGAAATATTTTTGATTAATGTAAATCAAACTATTCATGTTTAACCATGATTATTAGATTGTATGTAGTGTCAATTGGACATCATAATGTCTAACGATATAATGTTATGCACTTATAACCTAACCTATTGAAGTCATTAAAACATAATATGGAGTCATGAAGATGAGTGAATCGTTTATTTTCTTCTTAAAGAAGGTATTTCTGGTAGTTATTAATCATTATTAAGTGATTGTGGAGTGATAATTTTAAAATATTTAATTGAAATTCACGATGATAATTATATAGTTGTTATGTAGGTACTTATACCACAGTATATAGGTGCAAGTTACATAAATAAAATATCAACACTTAGTTTTTGAGACAGAACCATTGTATCTTTTGCCACATATAATTTCTCTCTTAGCTTGTATATTATGATTTATGAGGATGTCAGAGCATTATTTGTTTTCTATATCTGGTCCACGTGAAAGGTAAACAAATTGGATTTACGCAAAATCGTTTTTAAGTAATTTTAGGATACCTATCACCTATTGCAAAAACTGTGTACAATAATATTTTTGTAGGTTTGACATATTAGATTGGTATTTTATTTTATTTCTTTTTTAAAAATCAAAATTTGTTTTGCAAATTTAAATGGATATACAATTTGTTGAGAATATATTTCAACCTAAAATTATATGTTGAACCCTAAAAATAATATTTTCTGTATAGGTTTTATATTATAAAGGATTTTATTCTAAGTATTTCAAAAACCATAAAAAAAAAGAAAAAGAAGATTGTTAATAATGTTGCGCGTGGTTCAGAGTTAATTTAAATCATAGTTTGCTTATATACTCTTTAGTACATTCGTATTTCATACTATATTACTATAATTAAAATTGTCTCTTGATGGATTGCATAAACTACTGGAATGAAAATATAGCATTTGTGATTAGTGAACATAATCTAACTCTGCGTACTCTAAATACTTAAAAACTTTTCGAACAATTGTGTAAGTAATTTCGTGTAGCGTAAATTTCAACTATAACATTGATGTAGATATACATACATATCTTACTCTATTATTATTATTATTATTAACTATAATAATAAACTCGAAACTTGTGCAACTAAGATACCTAATCACTCATAATTTTATTTAACTTGTAGAAAATTAAGTTTAACAAAATATAACAATATATAAAACATTTAAACATCTATTAAATGATTACCAATTAAATTAATTTAATTTAATTAATCTCAATAATCATAATTTCGCGGTTCGCAATAAAAAAGAATTAAATTTAAATCGAATTTATCTAGCAAAAATCAATTAGTTTGTCATCCACTGAATGAAGTTTTATTGGTTTATAATTTTGTAGACTGTAGATAAATTTGTCGACAAAATAAGTAATACAACTATTACGACTATTATACAAGTACCTAAATATAACTATTAAACGATGTAAGATATTGAATATATTGTTAATGTAGCCATGTAGGTAATAGTTATATCTGTTTACAGTTTACTCTTGTTTGATATTCCACTGGTATTTTAGCTATACCATCGCTATTTACGCTTAGGTATAGGTATTTTATATAATTATATAGACAAGAAAGTATGTAAATTACTGAAACGTTATGAAATAAAAAAATATTTTAAATTGTATATATAAATATTTAAAATATGTATTTGTATCGTACAAAAGTTAAAATAGGGCGTAATCAACTTTCTTCTATTAAAAATTATAATTAAAATATATTTTATACGATAATGTCGTAGTCTTTCAAAAGTTTAAATGTTAGTTCTTTGTTATTACATTTTTTTTTCATATTACGTAAAACAAACTTGTAGCAATATAGTACGTACAGTTGTGCAGATAAATTAGTTAATACAATTCAACTATATTAAGTATTTACTGCAGTCTTCAGGAAATATAATATAGGTACCAATTGCATAGTATGTTTATTGTTCATAACCAATGTACCTATAGTATAAAAAGCCAGAAATTTAGAAATGAAATCGAAACTAGGAATACATTTGAATTTTGAAAATGTGATACCTTTGACGATGTTTTGAACTTTAATAGAGACAATTTAAAAATGAATTCGGGACCATTGTTAATGATTTATGAATAGTTTACATTTATGTGAACCACACACGAACATTTTCTAATCCACCTGTGTACTGTATTGCTATTAGCTTCTATGGTGTTTGTGCAATTTATAATACAAATACATACCCATTAATATATTATAATATTACTATTATTATGGTATCGTGTACACGAATAAGTTTGAATAACGTGACGTCTTGAATTTAGACGGCACGCGCAATAATATTATTGTTGGTTCCTTGTACTTTGTTTATCATGTGAGGTCGTTTGACGTATACTACACATTTAAATATTCATATATTAAACGATATTATACCGTATGCAGAGCACCCACACTATAGATTTTCAACATTAATTAGGTGTACTCGATTCGCACGTTACCTATTATATATCGACTTTCGTCAAGAGAATAAACGGTTAATTGAATATTTTTGAATTCCTAATCCCTCGAGTAAGTATAGATGCAAGCTCTAACGCAATAACATCTTAAACTTGTAGTGTGAAAAGTAATGGATTTAAAAATAGAAACCTAAGTCCTAACACCGTATACCTTGCTGTGTTTATATATATTTTTTTACCATCGGTTTCGGGGTACAATATTCTAAGTATTATTGAATATATAGAAACAAAACAATAAGTAATAACAAATGAAAAAATAAATCAGAATCGGCTACACAAGAGTACAAGACTGACCATGAATATATTTTAATTTTTAATGAATAAAAGTGACCCTCCAATATGCCAATCATGCGGCACCACGATCACAATCAAACACATCTTCGAAGAATGTACGTAAAACAAAGAGAGGATCTCAATAAAGTCACCAAATTGGAGCAAGACAAGGACCAAATCCAGACAACGAAACCGACACTATTGAATTCTTTAAAACAATGAAATTACTTAAGCTACTTTAGCCAACATTTGCAATATACAAAATATCAAAATAACTAATTTAAAACTGCTTTTCTTTTCTTTTCTTTTCTCTGCTCTCCATTATAAATGTAATGTATTTATGTTTATAATGTTATGCTAATGACCATAGTAGTCGAAGCATAAATTGTACAATTTCAAGACCAATAAAAAAAAAAAAGAAACAAAATAAGAGGTATTGTGACGTTAGTTCGAAGCCTATAAATAAAACGTGGTGCCCAAATCTCCCCCTCCCCCTTATAAACAGACATAATAAATACATAAATGTGTACAAATATTTAAATTTCATTTGGAAAAAATTTACTTTTGCCTAAAGGAATGCCTCTAAATGGTTTTCACGGATTTCAGTGTCACGAGTCCACGACCACTTGGGTACAATATGTTGCTGTTATTATTTGAATTTAAGTAACGAGCGCCGACTTAATGCTTATACGACATACTGTATGGAAATCCTGCACGCCATCCAAAGTGGACAGACGTAAAAGATTTAATATATAATATAATATAATATTATTATAGATTATGAAACGGTCGCGCAATGTCCTCGAGGGACGGCGGCCGCGCGGGGAAACAGGTGGTAATAAAACATCATTATTTCGACCGGCGGCGACGGCGGTGGCAGCGGTGGTGACTTCTGCACGAAAGGAGCACAACAAGTGGCGAACGTCGAAATAATGGCGCGATGGTGATACGACAGCGTTGACGATGTGTTAATTAGTATTGTATTGGTATTATAATAAATTCGTGTGCGACGGGCAAGTCGTACCGCAATAATCTATTATAAATTATATAATAAATATTAGAATAATATGCTATATATTTGATATTTTAATTTAAAATCGTCTACACAACAGGGTGGCGCGGCGACAACGTTATAATAATTATTACTATCGGCGTCGCGATAATAATTGACGATATCGATGATAATGATATTGTGATCGATGCAGTGAAATATTATGTTTGTGTGGGGTGAAGGATCGGATCAACTTACCGTCTAGATACGGTACGGCGGCGGACAGCGTGTGAAATTCTCCGAAAAACGTGCAGGAACACGCAACAAACAGCACCACGTCCATCGTATGGGACGCGTACACAACCGACATGACAGCGGCGGCGGCGGCGAAAATATCGTGACGGCAAGCGTCGTGTGACCGTCGGCGGACGGCGCGCAGCTGTTACTGCGTGTGTGTCGCTGCCGCGGTGTCGTTGTCGCGCGTCGCGCCGTCGCCGCCGAGCGCGCAAATAATAATAAAAACAATACGCCGCTGCGGAGGAGGCGTTGGCGGCCGGAACGCGCGCGCAAACGCGAACGCCGCCGCGGGTTTTCCCCGTCGCCGCACGCGAATCGATAAAAAGTCCGCGGGGCTGCTACGCTTCTCTACCTGCACCCCCTACCGTCACCGCACCCCATCGAAAATACGTACTACGTATATACCGTGTATAATATGTATATATAATATACGAACTCCCCCGCAAACCCGGCCGTCGCTATTGCGTAGGCTGGACGAAATCGATTATAATAATATGTACATACGTATGTACACTGTATATATAATATACAACTCAAGAGCGGGGGGTAGTATTACCACCGTAAATTCCGACACCCCTCCCCGCAACCATTCGGCATACAACGACGAAGGCACGGCGTGGGGTGGAGTGTGCGCAACCCGGTGAAAAACGCGCGAAAATTTGAAATTGTCTGAGCGGTATGTAACTATTGGCTACAGCTTGCATACCGCTCGGTTATAACTAAATTACACTATAAACTACTGCAGCAATGCGAATCGGACTACGGTATACTGTATACAATAACCTATCGCTCGTGAGTCGTGTGACAGTTATAAAAAAACTATAATTAGGTATATTGTTTCGTACAGTTTTTAATATTAATTTTGGCGAAACATTAATAATTTTCTCTGAAGGAAAAACAAAGTATTTTAACATAGATAATAATATATTTTTGGGCTATGTACAACGTTTTTTTTTATATCCGATTTTCACGAAACCTATAGTTTTGTTATAACCTATAGCTTTGTTTATAACCATAGAAATTAGAAACACAAATCAACAATAAAAAATTGTATTAAATTCCTAACTAATGTAGCATGCTACCATAGGCGCAATTTGGGCTAAATTTATGGGGGTGCTAGATTTATGTGGACCAAAGTAACCCGTGGGGGGCGAAGCCCCCCACACCCCCCTCATAACACCATTCATGCATTCATAATACTACCTGATTAATCAATAATTATTAATATTTGAAAAATAAATATATAATACAGGTTAATACGTTTTTTATTTTCATTTAAATATTATACTAAAGAGACATAGCAAAATTATTTATTATTTTATCTTTATAAATTTTATTGCTTAGATCTCTCTCAATATTAATAACTGACAAATCTGTAAATTTTGACTGTTCCATGCTTGTCCTAAGCCAATTCTTTATTCGGCGCATAGATGAAAAAGACCTTTCACAAGTAGCTGAGCTTATAGGAATAGCTAATCCTACTTGAATAAGTTTAAACAAGTTTGGAAAAACATCTTCAGTCACCACTTTCTTTATTCCAAGTATATCAAAATTTTGTAAACAATTTTTTGTCAGCAACATTTCTGCTTTCAATGATGTTAAATCAATATTCACAACATCCTGAAATTATATTATCCTCACATGATTATTTTATTTAAAAAATTAACCTACATTACATTAATCACAACAATATAATATATACATGGTTGTTAGATACCTATTTATAATTATTATGAATTCAATTAATGAGTTATTATTATTTAGTTTATAAATAATTTACTAGTTACGAACCTTGTAATGATTGATGAAATATGAACCTTTTTCAAAATCCATTTTCATAAACTGGTCTAATGAGTTAGCTAAAACTAAACTTTCATCCGAAAAACGGTATTTTATATTATTATTTATTATTATTATTATTATTATTATTATTATTATTATTATTATTATTATTCTATAAGTCAAATCTTAGAAATTAATTTATCCTGTTGTCTATGACATAATACGTGTATAACCAATTACAATTAAATGATGCTGTTGAAAATTTGGGGGTGCTAAGCACCCCCAAGCACCCCCCAAATTGCGCCTATGCGTAGATATTTGAGCACTACACTATATTATCAAAAATATATCTATAATGCCTCAATTTTTCTTGCTGAGGAAAATATCTAGTTGAATGCTACTTAAAATAATATAATATACGAATGGCATTTTGTAATGTTTTTGGTAAATAAAATCAATTCTTAAAAAAATATCAAACCTATACCTACTCATTCTCTTCTGAGTGGCATCATTTAAGTTTTTGAGAGGGGAAAGGCAATATTTTTGACCAGCCAGTAAAAAAAACTGAAAAAAAACCACTTGCTAACAATTACATAATGTACGCTGCAGTGTACCAGACGTCAGTGAACACCGAACATGGTATTATGTACATATTTTAAGGGTACAAAAATTGACAACAAAACTGGTATCTAACTTTCCCGTATTTTTTGATTACTTTCCAAGTTATTCAATTTTTCGCCAACACGTCTAACTAGTAACTATACATACTAATGATATTATTTATACATTTATGCACTTTGTGAATGAAGCATCTGTGCAGCATAATATTATAAATTATAATATATTATACTTCAAACGTGTTAAAATGGAATTGTGTTCAATATACTCTCAGCGTGTACCATAGTAAGTACCATATACTTATCATGGCTAACATAAGTACTGTATACTCGTACACAGTAAAGTGTTTTATGTCATTTAGAAGGGTTTACACATATTATAGTAAAAAATATATAATATATGATATTTGTGTGTGTAGTGTGTGTGTGTCCATTCGCAAACACTGCTGGACATTTCAACCCCACTGGATTGACGAGTATATTAAATTGCTATACAGGACAATACACAATACACATAATAGTTCGTCGTCTGATTGTTTTTCCTTCTTATACAGAGTAAATAACACTGTAAGAAACGGATAAACTGATACTATCACACAAAATAGGTTGTGTAACACACCTTTTGAACAAAAGCAAATACGTTTGGAGATAAAATGATCGTTTTGTGATAAAAAAAAAACCCTGTTTACATCTCAGACGGTTAATCGCTTATAACAATAATTTGTATTTTAATATATAGGCTATAGGGCCTATACGCTCGCGTTTATAATTAATTAATTAATATTTTACATATTTATGTGATTCTCGCAGCGTACTCGAATTTTCGCCGACTTCCTTTAAAATTATTTGAGTAAAGGAGCGAGAGTAATAAGGTATAATAGATCAGGTTTATACCAATATATTTTTTATATACATGATATAATTACTTACATCTGTATGCTTAGAAAATTCACATCGCGATTTCCATTATTTGTAAGTTATCCTTCAATCTTCGCCTCTTTCCGTGCTAAACCTAGTTGTCCACATCTCCGTATAATCTGTATCCTTAATTATTTTCCACATATTTTGTGTGAAGAATTAACGATTTAAGTATTTTACATTTTTTTATACAGCACTCAGACAGCGATTTCCAGCTAGATCCCCAGCTCGATTAACCTCATTGTTTTTTGCGACGATAATATGCTGTAATAAAACTGTATACATGTAACATGTTCCCAATTTATTACATAATATATTAACAATATTAATTATTATGTTTGGTTAAACTGTTAAAGTGTGCATGTCTATTATATATACGTTGTGTATATATTATATAATATACCTACTGTACAATTGTACAAACTCTGCAAGTAAAGTGTATCGGCTGGTCCGAATGTCTTACGGTCTTACCGTTAGAATAATATTATAGTTATATTATTTAATTATTATAACTATATTATAGTCATTTTGGTTTATAGAAATTATAGTCAAAAAGGGCAAGATACCTAGCAAACATCAAGATACGAAAATCGCAGACATATCAAAATATTTTCCATAAATCGTAACATCAATTACATTACACTTTATACATATATTATATTTAATAATTATTATAATTATTATTTCAGCCGGGTCCCGAACTTCCACTCACTTGTTTAACCGAGCATAATTACTAATTAGTAATTATATAATACGATATCAAAGTCTACGGGAGATGACAGAAATAATCCTCCAACAAGCCAGCCTTTAGCTGCCTACATAATAGGTTATTATAATTATTTTTTTATATTTTTCTCTTTTTTGGGCAGCTGCCCTTCAAAATCATGGTCAACACGCCACTGCTCTAAACCACTCCTAAAGTTGAAAATCAATGCATTTTTTTCTGCTATATAATGGATATAGGTACATATTATAGTGTTACAAACATAAAACAAATAACCACATGATACTAAAATGTCAGTTGTCCCCCCCACAGTCATAACTTGATCAAATCAGTAAATATGGTCTGTCCAACGAGACAACGTGCCGCGCACGGACCAAAACTGGTTCCCCCTGCCATAGGGGAACCAATTTCGATAGCAAGGTGACGCGGGGGGATGCTCAGAATCTGCGCGTTCTCTCGCTGGACAGAGTATAGTAATCAGCACCTCCACGGCTATGTCTGATAATTATATAGTTACACCTGACTCTTATTAAAGCATGGCGTATGTATAGTGAAATATGTATTATTTTTGGTAACGAAAATAAATTCTTGAGAGATTATCAACAATGGCATAGCAGTATCTTATTAGGTACTTACTTAGAAGAAATTGACTTTAGAGAATGATAATTGTTTACAGTTAATATTTCAATCATAAATATTAATTTTTCGTACACAGTATCCATATTATAAACTTATTTATTTAATCATATGAAGAAAAATATCAAAAAGTTGTTTGTTAATTGTTATAATAAAATATCATTGCTATTGGGTGGGTACCTACCTATACAATCTAAAATAATAATACGCGATAAGGCAATAACTATATTTAAATTATTTTGGAACGAAGTTCCTTATGGGGCGTTAGGTGGATGGGAGTCGCTGGAAAAAAATCGCAACACCGAAAAGCGTAACACTGAAAAACGCAACATTTAGAGTGGGGGGCTGTGCCTGCCTGCTCGGCTGCCGGCAACACTGCAGTTCCATTCGCGTAGG